GCCACATTTGCTTATGCACCCATTTGTCTTCAGCGATCATATCTTGGAGTCTTTCTAATACCAGCTCTTCCACTTTCATCTTGAATTTGAGCTCCAGTCGCCTGAAATACTGGTTCCCTAAACTGTTCTCTCTTTCAAAGTTTCTGTCTAATCTTTTTTTTTCCCCTTAAATCCTGGAATCCCTCACTCCCTTCTTTATCAGATGGATTCCTATTAACTTTTAAGATTTAGCTCAGAGTTACTTTTCCAGGGAGTCACCCCTCACTGCCATATTTGGGTCAGGTGATCCTCCTATGTACTCCACAACCCTTTTTACACACCCCGGTCCCACAGAGGTGGCTCTGTGCTGTCATTGTTGACGTCTGTCTCAGTACATGGCTCTCTCTTCTATGGGCTCATTGAGGGACCATAGCCACAGAGCCTGAAACAATCTGCTACACAGCGGAGTGAACCAAAAAGCAAACTCACTGCCACTGAGTCAATTCTGGCTCATCGCAACTCCCTAGGACAGAGTATAACGGTCCCTATGGGTCCCACGGGCCTGTAGGTATTTCTGGGAGCAGAACGTGCCATCTGTCTTCTGCAGAGCGTAGTAAACATCTATTGAAGGAAAAATAAGGGACCCACTAACTGCGTCAGTGTCCAGTTACAAGAATAGGATCCGTGATAGAAGCAAGAAGCTAGAATGAGATTTAAAAGCAAGGTTTGTCACTCATCTTTCGGACAAAACAAAAAAGCTTCTGGGGCTAAAGGATAGTTGACTTCATATCCATTTGATGAGCCCACAGTTGAATGATTTCAAAGAAACAGATGAGTGTTAATAGCTCATATGCATTCCTTTTGTCTACCCACACTTAAAGGTAACCATGACTCCAACCCAAACCAAACACACTGCCAGTGATGGGACTCACAAGGACCCTTTTCGAACATGGCAGAACTGCCTCTGTGGCTTTCCAAGACTATAACTCTTTAGACTCTGGCAGATTGAATCCAAAAGTACTCTGGGTATTGAACACATGGACTAAGCATTGACAGGGCCACTTTCTCCGCTTACATCATGAGAACCTACAGGATGTCTAGCCGTAGACATTGAAGGACTGAAAGGGAGAAAAGAGCTGAGCTTTTCTGTCTGCCCCTCATTACACACACACACAGAGTAGAACTAGGACCAAGGGGTAGAATTTATGGAGAGATCAAATTCAACTCAATATTAGAAAGAAATTCGTTGGTGGCAAAACTGTCCAAAGAGAGAATTGACTGCTTGATCAGAGAGTAAGTTGCTCAACAGTTGAATGAGAAGTTATCAAGGCCACTGTAGAGGAATTCATATATATGGTGGATGTAGAAGTATACTTTAGTTGACCTCTTGTGTCCCTTCGATCTTAAAATTTTATCTTCTAGCAAGTGATAAAAGTAACTGTTTCCAATGTGGAATGGTGTATGGGAATATACCCAGGTGTGTGTGTGTGTGTGTGTGTCCCTCAGGTGATTTTTCTATATATGTATTTGTATGTGCTGCAAATATATCTACATACATAGTAGAGCATACTGAGGGCAAATACATAAAAACATCTTTCTCAGAGCCAAACACCTTGAGGGACTGAGTTTGACTGGACTTGAGGGCTTAGGGCCATAGTCTGAGGGCGATAGTCAGGTTAGTTGGCATCATATAGTCCATAAAGACACTGTTCTACACCCTACGTTGGTGATTACAGATTGGGGGCTTAGAAGCTTGCAAGAGGTCGCTAAGATGCAACCATTGCTCCCCTTGCCCCGGGCAAAGAAAGGGGAAGAAAACCAGCCAACCAAAACCAAACTCACTGCCACCGAGCCGATACCGACTCATAACAACCCTGAAGAACGGGGTAAGAGTGTCCCGGGTGAATTTCTGAGATGGTACTCTTTATGGGAGTAGAAAGCCCTGTCTTTCTCCCAAGGAGTGGCTGGTGGTTTTGAACTGCTGACCTTGCAGTTAGCAGCCCAACTCATAAACTGTGCCACCAGGGCTCAAGAAAACAATTAATCCAAAGAACGAATAGACCACATGACGAGCAGCCTCTAAGACCCTGAGACCAGAAGAAGCAGATCGGACCCGCTCTCACTGCCAACCGCTCTGATGGGGCCACAGTAGAAGTTCCGGGACAGAGTAGGAGCAAAATGTAGGCGCAAATTCAAAATTGTAGAAAAAGACAAGGCTAATAAAGACTTGTAGAACCCCTGAGGCTGTGGCTCTTAGGTGCCCTTAGATACCCTTTGATCCTGGAACTGGACCCCCACCCCCAACCCCATTACCTTTTGGTCACACAACAGGCCTATAAAGCGAATGATAACAGTTGGGAGGAACCTACCCCTGAGAACAACCCACCATCTGAGACCCAAAGGGCTACCTTTTCCCCCCAAACCAAGTCCAGAAGGCAGGAAAGAAGAGAAGCTGCCAGTGAAGCACCCAGGGAGGCAGTGGGGAGAGCGCCGTCACATTGAGTGGGTTGCAGCTCATGTCACAAAGCAACAGGGGTACACAGTGGGAAGCGCAAGTGCTCTGCACACTTTCACCCAAGTGGAAAAAAAAGAAACGCTCATCATTCTTTTTGAAGTAACGGTTTCCATTCTTTTCATTTAGAGAGCACGCTCAAAATGAATTCAACCAGTCAAGCCCAGGAGGTCTCCATCAGCTCCAACGTGGACATAGCATGCAGCATCCTGGCCCGGTCGGAAGGAAATCTTCCATTATCGGTCATTTGGTACTTCGCTCCCAACTCTGCGAATCCAGCCCAGCTGAAGATCTTGGAGATGGACCAAAACGATGTCATACAATATGGGGGTGAATTTCTTACCCCGAGGAGAAAGCAAAAATTTCACATGGAGAAAGTTTCCCAGGCCCTGTTTCAGCTGCACATTCTGAATGCGGACCATGAGGATCTGGGCAGTTACCACTGTGCCGTGGACGAATGGCTCTTGCTGACCAACGGCACCTGGCACAGACTTGGAGAAAAGAAGTCGGGGCCAACAGAATTGAAAATCAAGCCCACAGGTAAATCGCACGAAAGTGTCTGTGTGCGCGCGCGCATGCGCTACACCTTTCGGTAAGATTGCCATCATTCTTGGAGCAGTGTTTCTAAGGAGTGATTGTGTGGCGGTAACGATATGACCAGGAATCATCGGAAGAGTATCTACCTGAACAATGTGTGCAGGACCTGGTAGCCCACCAGAGAAGAGGGGGTCACTTGTAGTCAGTCAATCCTAGGTTTTGGGGAGCTGGGATGGAGCAAGGTCCCTTTCATTGGTTTGCTTATCAGCCTGGCAGCCTGCTCTCTGCAGCTACCCGGGGTGTCGCATCTCCAGATCTCTATAATAACAAGCCGTGTCATTCCAGTGGGGCTCTCCTGTAATTTGGCAGAGAAAGAGTAATACGAAGCATATTCCTCCCACTGTGAACAGAAACTGTACAACTCTATAGGGATGTGTAGAGAAATTGCTTTTCAACATTTGGCTGCCTAAACATAAGGCAAATAAGAGTAGTTAACTGTTGGAATGGCTTACTTAGGGACTCTCCTCTTCCTCAGGAGATCTCTAAAAATGTAATAGCAGTTCCATCCATTTGCGTTGGCCTAAGAGTGCTGCTGTCTAAATGTGGACAGGGTTCCTCGGGCCTCTCAGCGTTAGCTAGGTCACCTCCACTGTTGATTAAAATCAATGACTGTCCTGGAGAAAGTTCAGGAACTGGCCAAGCTCCAACAGCTCCAACAATGCCAATAAGCTGGTCTGGGTTTGGTACTTAAAATTCCATTTTCAATGTAACGTCCGAAAACAAGATTATAATTGAACATCACTGTACCTTCAAAGTCAACCTCACTGCCATCCAGTTGATTCTGACTCATAGTGACCCTGTAGGACACAGTAGAGCTGCCCCATAGAGTGCCTGAGGCTTTATGAAATTGATGGCCAAGTCTTTCTCCCGTAGAGTGGCTGGTGGGTTCTGACCTTTCAGCCTTTAACCAATTGACACAAGGGTTTTATTATGGATTAGGCACTGGGAATACAAAGAGATGCACAACAACATTTCTTGCCCTTGGGGGCTCACAGGTCTATTGGGAGCAGCCAGTACAAAACACGTAGCTCACAATGATGCTCTGGTTCTCGTCCTTCTCTGGGTGCCCCTCTTTCTTTCATCACTAAATATTGGTGCTCTTCTGGGACAAATGCTGGGTCTGTTTTCCTTTTTGTTCTCTGCTTTCCCTAGGACTTCTTTTTTGTCTGTTTTTAAGATGGATATTTTAAAAAAATCATTTTACTGGGGGCTCTTACAGCTCTTATAACAATCCATCTATCCATTGTGTCAAGCATATTTGTACATATGTTGCCATCACCCTTTTCAAAACATTTTCCTTCTGCTTGAGCCCTTGGTATCAATTCCTCATTTTTTCCCTCCATCCCCCACCCTCCCTCTCTCATGAACCCTTGATACTTTATAAATTATTATTATGTCATATCTTACACCATCTGCTGTTTCCCTTCACCGACGTTTCTGGTGTTCGTCCCCCTTTGGGGGCAGGATGGGGGGCGGTTAATACATTGGTCATTGTGATTGGTTTCCTCTTTCATCCCCCACCTTTCCCCTTACCCTCCTAGTATTGCTACTCTGATTATCAGTCCTGAGGGATTTATCTGTCCTGGATTCCCTGTATTGTGAACTCTTATCTGTACCTGTGTACATGCTCTGGTCTAGCCAGATTTGTAAGGTAGAATTGGGGTCATGACAGTCAGGGGGAGGAAGCATTAAAGAAATAGAGGAAAGTTGTATGTTTCATCAGTGCTGTACTGCACCCTGACTGGCTCATCCCTTCCTTGTGACCCATCTGTATGTCCAATTGTCTACAGATAGGCTTTGGGTCTCCACTTCCCCCCTCCCCCCCTCATTTGCATTGATATAATTGTTTGTTCTGGGTATCCCTAGGACTTATTAAACACTGCCCCAGTTTCCGCTACCTCCTTCAAGATGATGACTCCAAGTCTTTATGTTGAACCCCAGTCCTCTGAGCAACCAGACCTTTACACTCAACTGCTTACTGCCCATTTCCATTTGGATGCCTCACCGCTCCTCAAACCCAACATGTGTTCCAAATTGCATGTGTCCTCTCTGCCATACCCGAAGACCCGGCCCAACTGCCCCACTCCATCTGTATGACTGACTGGGCGCTTCCCTAATTGTCTGAGCCAAAATCTTGGCCTTGTGTACCTGCCCTTTTAAAGGGGCGGCCATTCTTAGCTCAAACCATTGCCTCCCATGAAGACCCTGATGCAGTGCTGTCAGATAGCAAGGGATACCTAGAGTCTATTTTGCTGCTAACTTCCAACTTGAGAACATTCACACACCAAAAACTCAAATCCTTTAAAAATGCCGAGTGGGTCGTGCTGAAAGATCAAAGGAAATCACATCACTGGTTTACATGAGCATCTCTTGAGATGGCTGTTGCTTTATATACGTATCCACACTTAAGAGGGGAAAGAGTTGTGTGTGGACTGGGTTTCACTCTGGCTCAGGAATGAGTTGAAGAAGAGGTCCCGAAAGAGAAACAGAGAAGAACTGACCATCATAGGAAGGAAATTTCTCTGACGTCCAAAGAAGAGAGAATTTCACGAATAAAATGGATGGCAGTGGTGAAATCCACAGAGAGGACATACATACGTGGAGGTGGGGGGGCAGTCCCTTGGGGTGAGAAATTAGTGGGAAATGATGCTGAAGAATACGGAGGGGTTTGAACGCTCTACTGTCAGGAAGTAGAAAGTAATTTGATGTGAGGAAACCGAGTGGATTATCCTATCGACTAATATTTTACCATGCTTTACTAGGAACTTGTTGCCAGCGAATTGATTCCACCAGCATAGTGGTCATGCACTGACCAGCGAGCCCCAAGGTTAGCAATTCAAAACCAGTAGCCAAGAGGCTCCCCAGAAGAACCATGAAGCTTTCTACTCCAGCCAAGAGTCACTCTCAAAAACCCAATGAGGCAGTTCCGCCTTTTCCTATAGCCTTGCCGTGAGTCAGAATCGACTCAGTGCCATTGAGCTTGGGTTTGTTTGTTTGTTTTTAGTTTATTATGAAGGAAAGGAGAGAGTAAAGATGGGAACTAAAGGAGAATGCAGGATTAGAGAAAGTTGCACTTTTAAACTTAGACTAATCAATGTGTTTGTAAAGGAGTTGAAAAAAAATCAAATACTTGGATTTCTATAATTTATTTATAGCTACTCTGGCCTTTCTTCCAAGTTCTCACCTGCTGATTAGCATGGAAACAACCACAAAAAAAGTAAATGTCAAAATCTGTTTTTAAATTTGTCTGATCCAATAACCAAATATTTCCTGTAGATGCTATTCAAACACTTGGATAAAAAATATCCATCCCCCAGGTAGCCTCCTTTCTTTCTGCATTGATGCGGAGATACTAACTGGGCGTATTAAAGGAAGCTAATAGGCTAAGAATGAGGGACAGAGCTAGAGTAAGCAACTTCAGGGAAGGCTAGAAGTTTTGAGTAGTCCCTTGGAAAGTAGCAGAGGGTATTGACCAGAGAGAAGTAAAAAAAACAAACAAACAGAACAGAGGACCTAGCTAACTCTAAGTTGTTTTCCATGAGAGGGTTTGTGTTAGTCTGGGTAGACTAGAGAATCGAACTCATGGACACTTCATATGTGTATAGAAAGAGCTTTATATACAAGAGCAATTGTATACTGAGAAAACATCCCAGCCCAGTCCAGATCAAGTCCATAAGTCTGATATTAGCCCATATATCCGTTGCTAGTCCATAAATTCCTCTTTAGACTCACGCAGCCATGCAATGATGGTGACCTCAGGAAGATCACAGGCCAGTGGGTGGTAAGTCTTGTGGATCCGTTGGTGGTGTAAGCATCTCAGCGCTGGCAGGGGTCTCTCCTAGGCTCCTCCAGCTCCAGGTGTCTTGTCAGTGGGAAAACGAAGCAGTGAGTCAGTGTGTATCTGCCCCCCAAGTGGCGCCTCCAAATGAGGTCATCAAGCTGCGACCTGATTGACAGGCTAGACTCCACCCCTTCCCAAGTTGACAGGAGATGATGTAACTGCCACAGGACTCCACAGTGAAAAGGGAGGATTAGAGAAGAGGAGTGACTGGTTCGCAGAGAATTTGGGGGACAAGTATGAATGAAAAAAAGGCACAGGATCAAGGAAAGGTGTGAAAGATGAATGATTGGATGTCTAAGAATGAAAAATGGGATCTCTTCAAGGATCACTAGTAGATTTTCTAGCGGAGAAATCCCATCTGAAAGGCTAGGTTCTTCTCTAACTTAGTGCCATCTTATTTCCTAGGAAGTGAAGTACGTGTCTTCAAAGAGAACTGGACAGAAAACGCCATAGAGCACTCGGACGTGGCCCTCCACTGCCAGCTGGAGAGTTCAGGCAGCCTGCCCTCCCTGTTCTCAGTCACGTGGTACTGGAGCAGCGGAAGTTCCAGGAGTCAGATGCTGGTGAGCCTGCAGCACGACGGCTTGCTGGAGTACGGAGAGGAGGGCTTGGCCAAGGACCTGCACTGTTACCGCTCATCCCCTAAAGATTTTGTCCTGAAGCTGCATCGGGTGGAACTGAGAGATGCCGGAAGGTACTGGTGCAGGGTGTCAGAATGGCAGTTACATGGAAAGCCAAGCAAGTGGGTCAACCAAGCGTCAGACGAGTCATGGCACGTGGTGCTGACGGTGCTGCCTTCAGGTAATTAAGGGCTCGGGATCTCAGGAGAATCTTTAGCTCTGCGATTCAGCTTTCCCTCTTAGCAATGTTCTGCTCCTTTTGCAGGCTGAAAACAATGCAAAGACTATCTAAAGACGATGACTTTGCCATTGCCCTCAATAGTAACTCATATGAACACTGCGTGAGGTTTCAGTAGTATGATCTAAATGTCGAGGCCCTCTGGTGTTCTCCTTCCCTCTCCCTCTACAGAAGAAACCCATCAACCCTAGATCCTTTCAAATGGCCAGGTAATGTGTGGAGTGGACATCCTTATCCCTTGGCTGACCCTCCAACCTCAAAATCTACCTAAGGTGGGAGTTCAAAGGAGGCCTAAAGACGTTGCCCAGCCTACTTTATATTTGTATCTGATTAAGCTAAATCAACGACATCTAAGTGCTCCTTGAGTCTAAATTCTTGTTTAACGAGTAAGTGCCAAGCTCCTCGTTTCTCTATGTGCCCCAGACCTCCTAGGATTTTTGCTGCTAGTGCTCATTGGCCGGCCTTCTTTCATGGCACCTGAAAGGCACCAGAGAAGGACAAGGTTGTTGTGAGGTGCCATCACGTTGGCTGACCCACACTGACCCTCATGCCCAGCAGAATGAAACATTGCCCGGCCCTGCACAACCTCACAACTGTTCCTCTGCCTGAGCCCACTGTTGCAGACCCTCTGTTAATCCACCTTGTTGCGGGCCTTCCTCTTTTTCGATGACCCGCTACTTTACCAAGCACGGTGGTCTCGGCGGCCTACTTTGGAGGAAGTAGCCACTGAAAACATGATTTCCACATAGGACTTGGTCATGGGCTCCCATCAAGACCTTGGCGGAAGGGTGACCTTTCTCTATGTGCAAGCCTGATACGATTCAATGCCGTGCACGGCTTCAGTCGGGGCATGGTACAGGAGGCTGGGAAGGAGGAGAAGGTACCTTCTGGCCTTGCATTGTGCCTGACACGTAGGAGGCATCGGTTAAGTGTTTGTTAGAGAAAGCAAACGCTGTTCCCGGCAGACCAGCTAACTCTTCCCTGGTGATGAGTTAGCAGATGTCACCGCCAGATTATTTTCTTGGCCACTGCTTGCTGGTAGAGTTTAAGGCAGCGGTTTTCAAACTGTAGGTCGTGACCCCTTTGGGGGTCGAACCACCCTTTCATGGGGTCGCCTGATTCATAACAGTAGCAAAATGACAGTTATGAAGTAGCAACAAAAATAATTTTATGGTTGGGGGTCACCACCACGTAAGGAATTGTATGAAAGGGTCGCGACATTAGGAAGGTTGAGAACCACTGGTTTAAGGAGAAGGTGAGCGATACATGACACATTCACACTAACTGTGACAAAGAGCCACTGGAAGTTCTGAGGGAACAAAAAAGTAAATAACAGAGTCTACACCAAAGAGCTCAGAGAGTGGCAGGAGAAGTCAAGTCCAGTGTAATGGGGTGTTGGTGACGCGCACCAGGGAGGATAAATGGAGATGGTCGATGAAGGTAACCATTTGAAATTGATGGCACCTTCCCAGCTCTGAGAACAGTTTCATCTCAGCCCCAGCAAGTCTTTGAGAGTAGAAGTCCAAGCTGTCTGATTCAATCCGTACGGATCATTGTCTTTTTCCCAGGCCCCATTTTCAGCCTTCCTCTGTGTCCAGGCAGGTTGTTTTTTCTTATCAGACTTTCTTCTATTCCACCAATAACAGGAAGTTCCACACCCTGTGCACATTCCACACTCGTTTTCCCACTGGAATCTCTAGGCTCTGTGGAATTAACAGTTTTTGCAGTAGAATAAATGGATAATAACTATAAAAAGGATATATCCTGTGACTAAAAAGCACATCTCCTTTTTCAGTCAGATGGGCTATTTTACAGTATATGTATCTATTAATCCTTGTGGAATCCATGTAAACGCTTACACAGTCTCTGAAAGATGAACTCTGGCAAAGACATTTTGAAAATGGAGTGGTCTTTGTAGTATTCTGAACTGAAGAAGTTCCAGTACCCTTTAATTTGACCTGAGCTGAGAAAGGGATTTTTGTTTTGAGTGTAACTAAAGTTAGGAAAGTCTGTCACATCTGGATTCTTCTTCCACTCCGCTGTTCCTTTCTGGTAGCTTATGAGACGATGTGGAATGAAGAAGAATCCCAGGGTGTGAAGTCTAGGTTGAAATCGTACCCCCTTGCAGTTCTTGTTAGATTCTGTCAAGTTGGCTGTGACTCAGAGTAACTCTATGTACAACAAAGCAAAACACTGCCTGGTCTTGTGCCAACTCACAATTGTTGCTTTTTGAGCCCACTGTTGCAGCCATAGCTTTCATATGCATATAAAGCAACTGAAAATACCATGGCTTGGATCAGGCGCACCTTAGTCCTGGGAGCATCATTATTGTCTTTTAACATTATCAAGAAAATTTTTGAAGAAGAGTTGCCCAATGGCCAATGTCCTTTGATTGCTTGACTGCTCCTTCTATGAGTATTGATTGTGGATCCAAGTTAAATGAAACCTTGGACAACTTCCATCTTTTCTCCATTTATCATGATGTTGTTTATCGGTCCATTTGTCAGGATTTCTTTCTGGATGTGGAGCTGCAGTCCACGCTGAGGGCTGGACGCTTAGATACTCATCAGTAAATGCTCCAAGTCCTCTTTGCCTTCAGCAAGCAAGGTTGTGCCATCTGCAATCAGAAGCTGTTGATGAGCCTTCCTCCAACCCCAAGGCCTCATGCTTCATCCAATCCAATTTCTTCTGAATACAGATTGACTCAGTATGGTGGAGGGGACTATCTTCACACACGTCTCTTGACTTCAAGCCATGCAGTAGCCTCTTACTCTGTTTTAGCAACTGCCTCTTGGTCTAGGTACAGGTTCTGCATGAGCATATTTAAGGGTTCTGGAATCCCCATTCTTCACAGTGTTATCCATAATTAGTTATTATGTACACCTTGGAATTGTAAAGATTGGGAGCATTTGAATAATCAGTAAAATATAAGTAAACATCTCTATGGTACTTTGTCCTGTCAGTCAAACATCATGTGATGTCAGCTATGATAGGCCTCCTTCTCTTCTGAATCTGGCTTGAATCTCTGGCCCTTTCCTGTTGATGTGCTGTCGCAAATGTTTGTTAATTCTCTTCAGCATCATTTTACTTTCAGATGATAGTAGTGATCTTGTTTGATAATGTACACATGTTGTTGGATCACTTTTCTTTGGAATGGGCACGAATATGGATCTGTTCCCTTTGGTTGGCAAGGTAACTGTCTTCCCAATTTCTCAGCACAGACATATGAGCACTTCCAGCATTGTATCCAGTTGTTGAGACATCTCGATTGGTATGTTGTCAATTCCTGGACCTTTATTTTGTGCTAATGCCTTCAATTATTTAACCTCTGTAAGCCTCAGCTTTTTTCATAAAGTGGGAATCATAACACAATAGCATATAATATATCTAGCAGAATATAGTTCTCGGCACATTTAATTGTGCAACAAATGTTAATGACTTTTTTCTCCCTTTATCTCTATTCATGCTACACATGCTCAGAGTTACATATATCTATCTTGGTAGCAAATATTTTGATTTATCCAATAAATAACTATTTGGGTTCTGAGGAATACAAAATTGGGGATGCAGAGTCTGTTCCCTAAGAGTTCAGAGCCTGGCGGGAGAAGCATCTCCAATGGATACGTGCCATGAAATAATAATTCCCAGGATGCCACTGGAGCAAAAAGGCAGGGCCAGGTGGGACGGAGTTCTGGGAGGGGTCCCCAGACTCTGGGGTTTGTAAAAATTAAGAAGCATATTTTAGAAAAAGGAAATGGGATGAAGGACAATAGCCAGAGGGGACGTTTCTTGCTCTATTCGAGGATCCTCTGCAGTCGGGAATAACAGAAACATGGTCTGTATCGTACAATAACAAGAGGAGAGCCTAGTGAGATGAGGAGGCTGTCTGTGTGCAAAACTATAAGGAAGGTGAACCTCAGCATGAGAGTTATTGGGTGGCATAAAACAAAGCAGGTGTGTGACATCACCACATTTGCATTTTAGAGAGCTGCCGCTGAGAGCAGAATTACAGGTGAACTGAAGAGAAGACAGACCTGGATCACTGAGAACTGGGTGAAATTGATGGTAGGAAGCCAGCTGAGACAGTAGAACAGCACCATAAGGGCTGAGAAAAGGACGCGATCTTAAAAAGAAAACTTATGCTATCAAGTAGATCCTAATTTATAGCGACTCCGTAGGACAGCGTAAAGTGGTCCCACAGCATTTCCACATCTGTCAGCTTTACAAAAACAGATGGCCACACCTTCCTCCCATGAGGTCAACTAAAAGCCACACTCACTGCCATCAGTCGATGCCTCCCCATAGAGACACTACAGGACAGGGGTAGAACTGACCCTCTGGGGATCCGAAACTGTAACTGTTTATGGGAGTAGAAAGTCCGGTCTTTCTCCTGTGGAGCGGCTGATGGTTTCAAACTGCTGACCCTGCAGATCACAGCTCAACTCGTAACCACCATGCCACCAGAAATCCTTTCTCCCATGGGGCAGCTGGCGGTTTCAATCCATCAACCTTTTGGTTAGCAACTGAGCACTTAACCACTGCACCACTAGAATTCTTGCAAGGAGAACAGGCACTAGGTGTGTGCTACAAGATTTAGAGTCGGAGGAGATGAATGTGGAGAGCGAATACACAGAGAGGATCAAGGATGACTATCTAGATTCTGGCTTAAGTGGGTATTCGGGTCATTATCAAGCAAGAGGGCAATTAGTTGAATTTGGCATCAATTAGCCAGGAAGTTGAGTTTGGTATGCCTGTGGGTTATCCCTGGGTATCTTTCCAATAGACACATGGACTTCCAAAAAGTGTCTGCCCCAGAGTTGTAGATGAGGAGTCATCAATGCGTGGCCGAGAATCCAAAATGAATACCCATCTGGGAAATGTAGGTCCAGGAGGTCAGAGGCTGAAGGCTGGACTCTGAGATAAGCAGCTCTGTTTCAGAGGAG